TTTTTAAGTGCTTTTCCAGCAATATAAATAATGAAGTGTGTTGGAACTGGCAGGTATAGTACATTAAACTGAGTGCAATTAAAACACTGTGATATTTTTAAATTAACAAGAAAAAAAATAGGTGACAACATCCAGAAATCTGAACCTGTCTCTGCGCCTCCTCCAGCTGGTAGCTGGATGGGTGATTGCAAAGGGTATTAGGAACATTGACACTCTGGGTTTCAAGTGCCATGATAGTCACATTTAGCACAAAGAGCACTTTGATTTCACTTCTGCTTAACAGACAGATGACATTTCCAACAACATCATCTTTACAGTTATTTTTTTCTTTTCTTTTTGGGAAAGCAGATGACAAGGGGGGTATATTCTGAGAAGACATCTGAGTTGAAATAATGATATGCCTTCTGGGTAATGTCTCAATGAGACATCTGAACGTCAGGATTCTCTTTGCGAGACACAGGAACAATCTGCAGCTTTCACACTCATGGGCGACTTCACCCTTTCCAAAAGCCAGCAGTCTGTCTGTTCATGGGAGACCAGGAGAATGGTGGGACTGTTGGGGTGGTTTTGATGACCTTTCCGAAAGTTTGATGTGCATGGAGTGAGATCTGCTCTTTGCCAGTAATCATTGTACAAGTAGAGCCTGACGGATGTGTGCATGGAAGGTCTCCCATGCCTCCCATCTCAGTTCTGGAATTGGGAAGGTCCAGGAAAGACATCACGGATGGGCTGTGGTGTAAACACACCTGCACCTCTGCATTCATCTGAGCACGATCTCTGGAATGTCCATCTCACTTACCTCTCCACTTACTACCAGCATTTGCTGCACTTTATCCATCTTCCGGGACTCCATGTGGACTCAATTTTTAAAGATGGGTGTTGGGCCTGCAGGTATATTGCTTTGGGTGACCCAAATCAGAATAAAGAACAGCTTTCGAATTTCCTCAATTTGAAGCCCCGTATATTGGTTTTCTGCAACTCTCACAACAGAGTACCACAGACTGTTCTCAACAATAAAAATTCATTGTCTTCAGGAGGGTGGAAGTCCAAAATCTAGGTATTGGCAAAGCCATGCTCCCTCCAAGAAGGCCTGTTTCCAGGCTTCCCTCCTGACTTCTGACTGACCATTCCTTAGCACACAAGTGCCGTCTGCACATGGTCTTCTTTTGTGACTCTGTCTGTCTCTCCATTCAAGTTTCCTCTTTGTGTAAGAACCTCAGTTACATTGGAATAGGGCCCACCATGCTCCTGTTTCTTAATTACATCTACCACAATGCTGTTTCCAAATCAGGCCACCACTTCCAAGGTACTGGGGGTTGGGACTTCATCATGTAAGTTTTGGGGTACACAGTTTGACCCATGCACCCTGTGTCTTATAGCGTGACTGTATATTTGAGTGCTTTGTCAGGTACTGTTGTAGATTCCAGAAATACGGCCAGCATTGAGCAAAGTTGCCTTGTTCTCCGACTTCATTTGAAAGAGGGAGACCAATATGAAGTAAAAAGTATAATACAGAGAAATGGGTCATGGTGTGTGGTAGGCTGCGTGGTAAGAGACGGTGTGGCAGAGCAGGTGATTTGGGGGCAAAAACTTTGTGGAATTGATTCTTAACAATGTGAGATCTTAAGAAACAAGTTTTCTAGATAGAGGTGAATGCCCACTAGTATGCTAAGGAAATGCTTCCAGATTAGTTTGAAAAGTTACGTTAGCAAAGGAGTTTATTTTTAAAACATCCTAGAAGTATTTGGAGAATAAAGAGAACAAATTCCTTTTTTTCTTTGTAATTTGTTGTTGTTTGTTCATTTCTAATTTTGAGGCTGGTTTCAGACTCCTGGGCTGATCCTCCTGCCTCAGCCTCCCAGGGGCTAGTACTACAGATACCCAATGTGGCGTGTGAATTCTGATAACTATGAGATAAGCACATCAGGCTACCACCTATAAGGGAAAGCACATAGTAGAACTCTCGGAATCTTGTGTCACATTTCCTATGAACATTGTCCTGAATTTTTTTTCCCCCTAAGAGGGTTTAGGTGGGATTCACCATTAAAAGCCTCAGGGAATTCTATTTTTCAATTTTAGATTTTTTTTTTATGGACTCAAAGAAACTCGGAGTCCTTTTAGTTTTCCCTGCACCTAATACCAGAACGAAGCTCCACTTCCAACCTCCTAGTGGGGCTCCGAATGCAGCCCCCTCCTCCTGATCTTGGGATATCATGCGTCACCTGCTCCTGCGTACCGTAGTCTACTTCTTGCAGTGCATAGGGTTCCAAACTTAGATCATTGGCCCATGGAGATCCCTGCCCCTTTGCTGCTTCTCCTTGACAAGGGTGCCTGTCTATCCTTGCTGGGGGTTGCACCCTAAACCAGTGGTTCTTAACACGGGCTGTATGAAAGAACCAACCGAATAGTTCTGTATATGGCTGATTCTGGGGTCCCCACCCAAATGCACCGAGTTCACTGAGTTGAAGTTTTGAAATTAGGGACCTGGAAAGCTTTTTTGTTATTGTTTGTTTGTTTTTTATTCCAAGGATAATTCTGCTGTGTGTTCAGGGTTCAGAATTGCTGCTCTGAAGTATTCGTGCTGTTCTTGTAGTGACACACTCTTGTTGGAAGAACATTGAGAAAAACATTTGGGAGAGGATGTCACCTCTGTTCGCTCAAGGATGTCTTGACCACCGGGAGGTAAAACCATCACACAGGTGCCTCTTTCTCACAGTAGTGTGGGAGGGTCTATTTTCTAGTGCCCTGGGCTCAGATTTGTGGAGAATGTATCACAGTAACCACCCTCTCCTCAGATCTCAGCATGTCATTAGGAGACGCAGAGAGATCTGGGTCAACTTGGAGACGCAGCCAAGAGAATGAACTGGTTTTAGTGCTGGTGCTAAAAATAGAACTAGAACGCAGATTCATCTTCTCATCTCTTACGGATCTTTGGGACCAAGGAATCAAGACAATGATGAAGTCTCCTGCATCTCCAAAGTGAAAATCTTATCTAAAGTGAAGACGTCTTTGTGATATCAGTCACCCCTCGATCTCCAGATGTCTTATGTACTTGTTGGGGTGATGACTTATATTGCATTACCCATGTTGATTCATGCGTTTTATCGTACCCACTAGCAGCTCCCATTGGAACTTATGATCAACTTGGGCCCCTGCTTCTCACACTTTGCCTCCAAGAGAAACAAAAAGTAGCTTTTGACAACCATTCAAGCAGTATCCTTTTTTATATATATAAAATAAGAAGACCCCCCCACCATTGTATTTTTAAAATTTTGCACATTGTGATCCTCATCCATATGGTTATTTTTATCATCTGATTTGGTCTCACTCGCAGTCCTCCGGATTCTCCCTGAATTGTGTAAACACATCTCACTTCTTCTAAGTGGATTTTTGCAGTGCGTTCTGGATTCTGGCTGGCTGTGTGCTCCTCTGATCTGTCTATGGTATCCCTCAGATGATAGAAGCTAAAACTGATTTCCCTGTTTTGATATTAGACATGGTGATATGCATGCCTGTCTCTCTACACACTATTTTGTTTGTGACATCTCAGTGTGCTTGGTGCCACAGGACCCTTCCCTTTTTTGTCATTGCTGTGTGGTATGGGACTGCCCCTGTGACCCATGCTTAGAGGTTCCCTGTGCAGGCCTGTGACAAACTAGATTCTTCACTGCTACAATTTAGACAGAGACACAGAGCAAAGTTGTGGGTCCAGAGCAGGAGGGGCTGACTCAGGGTAGAGGTACAACTCTGCAGGTGTCCTTGTTCTCATGTGAACTAGAGACCTAATGCAGGTCCCTGGAGCTGGAGAAGATGGCAGATGACAGGAAAGGGAGGATTCTGCAGAAAAGCAGGGAGGATTCTGCAGACTAGCTGGAAGGAGGGGGCTAGTGGTGGACAGATAACCTGCCTTGACTTCTGGGATTTCCATTTCCTACAAGAATCAAAGTGCTCTTTTACTATAGTCTCTGGCATCTGCAGTGAACTGTGCTTTTGGCGGGGGGCTGGGGGGGGGACCAGTTTGAGCCTCTGTTCTTTGTTTCCATAAGATACAGACTGAGCTGCATTTGGACCTCTTACATCTTGAGAGTCACCATATCATGTTCCCCCACCTTCTCACAGAGGGCTCTCTCTACCCTTATGCAGCTAGTCCCATGGTATGGGGAGAGCACTTGATATGAAACGCTTAGTGCCCCAGGATTTGAAATCTGGCTTTGCCACTTGTAAGCTTTGGGGCCCTGGCAAATGTTCAAACTTCCTGAGCCTCAGTTTCTTCTTTTGTAAAAGTCGGATAAATAAGATTTGTTTTATAGAGTACAGATTTATGAAAATTAAATAAGACTGAACAAAACAGTTTTAAAATTTCCTCAATGTGTGCTCTGCAAGTTCTAGTTTAAGGCTTGAAGGATATGAGAAGACTTGTTCTTGACCTTTAAAGACAGGTTGGCAAATGCTGGCCTGTGGGTCCAATCTGGCTCTCCATGTAAAGTTTTATTAGCACAGAGCTGTCCCCCTTGTTAATGTATCGTCTGAGGCTTCTGTCAAGGTACGGAGTCATTGTAACAGAGAATATGTGGCCCACAAAGTCTAAAATATTTAGTGTTTGGACATTTTTAGAAAAGTTTATAATCCCCTGTTCAAGGGGAATTACAGTCTTGATGGTAATTAATAAAATGGCCTTCCAGTGTTCATGTCTCATAGTATTGCAGACTTTATCTTCTAATTTTGTGATCTTTGATAACGCATTTTGACTTGGTCTTTGATAACGTATTTTGACTTTCCACATAACCTTGTGATGTAAGCCTTTCTTAAATCTCTTTCATGGCTGTTATAAAACCTTTTTACCTTGCTGTTTCTTTTCCTCACATTGAATCAACAACGTAGGGATTATCAGTTTAACCTGCTGGACGCACCCCTCATGTGCAGAGGAATTTGGGTGGCTGGTGATGTCCTTCAGAGGGTTCTCCCACCTGTGACTGACTGGTGGCCTCCTGTTTTCCCAGGTCCATCTCCAGAACCTGCCCTTCAGGGGAAGCTCTGGAGCAGGGACCCATATCTTGGAAGCAGCCCCCTTGGTGAGCCGTGAATCCGCATCAGCCACTTTGTGATGTTTTGTGCAAAAATATCCTTTGTTACCAAAATATCACCCTACAACTTGTACTGCTAGTATCTATGCTGCATAAAAACATAGAACTGTCTTTTGGAGCAAAAATCTAAATATACATTTAAAAAAAATCTTCAAGCTTAAACAAGAGTCACAGTTTGGTGAAAATAAGATTTTGGGGACAGGTCTTTGTCCAAACCCTTTGACTTATCTGCTGATGGCGGTAGGTCAGTTATTTAACTTAACTTTAATATGATGTTCACGACATTGGGAGGAATGTCCTCTGCAGAGAGCGACTGAGCAAATTGAGGTGGTGCAGATAAAGGAAGGGTCATTTGCTCCTTGCCTGAGTGGTCTTAGAATGCTGTGTAGAGGCAATTCTTCTGACAGGTCCCTCCAAGTTAAGATAGAACTTGCGTGGATGAGATGTTGGCCATGGCCAATAGGTCCAGTTCCCCTCCCTGTTCGCTCTGCTCCATGCACATCGGCCTTTGTTTGGTTTTGTGTCATTGTTCATTTGTTTTCCAGTTTTTTAAATCACATCAGAGCCTTCCTTTCCTCGGGGATTTTAGGCACTGGCCCTCCTGTCTGAGGGAGATTGTGTCCCTCCCTTTTTACCCTCCACTAAGAGATTTGGCATTCTGTGCTTGCCCTTAACCAACAAAGGGGGCGTGTTGGGGAATTGGGGAAGAGTTCCCTGAGTTTGAGGGCCAGGGGCCCTTATCTTAAGTCTGAATAGGACTGATTCAGGCAGAGATTATGGAAACCCTGGGCCCTAGGTCGTGTCTCTGTGATAAATTCAAGCCACCGAGGCATTTCCCATGGAGGGCACCATGGTGAGCTGGGTATTTGGAACAGGGTCCACTGCGTCAAGAATGGCTTGGGGACAAGGGTGATGCAGGTTGAGACAGAATGTGGAATAGGGGTGACCAGGAGCTGGGCAAGAGGAGCTGGGGAGTGGCTTAATGGGTTCCTAGTTTTCTGGAGGTGGATGGTGGTGATGGCTGTATAATAGCATGAAGGTACTTAATGTCACCAAGTGCACTTAACCAACGCTTACTGTTCATGTGTATTTTGTCACAATTAAGGAAAAAAATTAAAAATCAGATGCAGGAGAGTTGGATCAGTAGAGGGGAAACCAGGTTGGAGCTGGGAGTGTGGGAATGCTGGGGGGTTGGAGAGGATCCATCTGCTCTGGGAGGTGAGGAGGGGAGTGAAATATCTGGGACTTGGCAGTGAATTAGCTGAGGTGCAGTTTTGGAGCACGGGAGGCTGTGTAGTAAGGGATGGTCCCCCTGTCTCAGGCTGACCCACCTGGTAGGGCCATTTACTAAGGCAGAAGATCTCAATACATCTCTCCCGGGACTCCATACTCATCCCACTTGTAGCTAAACCCTTGACCTGACAATTGAGGGTCCTCCTGATGGACTATGAGTGGCATGTAAGCAGAGGCTGACTGTTGTCTTCACCAGGTGTCACCTCTCATAGTGCCTTGCACATGATGCCTGACCCAGAGATACTCATGGAAAGCCCATGGTCTGTGATTTGTGGAAATTACTTCTCCACTAAGTGACTTGGTGCTTCAGCTTCTTTGTAGCACTGAAATTTTTAGGATCAATATGTAATATCCCTCTCTTCCATGGCTGTAGGGGAAACGGATTGAGAGACACATGCAGGGACAGAGCAGAAAGAGATCAAAATACAGTTATGTTCAAAGCATTTGGAGAATGTGTCTCAAACAGGTAGCTGTATTTCCTCACCCAAATTAGACTTAGCAGCATATTGAATGAGACCATGTCCTCTCCCTGGGGCATGTGGGACATGCTGTCTCTAGGCAGACAGAACTGAAAGAATAGGGAAGCAGGGCCTGCTGAGCCTTCCTGGGTCCTTGACACAGACCTGCCAATCAGATGTACCAGTCCTCTTCTTAGAGAAGACGCAGTGGCATAGAGAAGCTGTCCTGTGTATTGCTCCAGGAGAACCCACTCCTCAGGGACATGTGAGGAATGGAGTGAACCCTTCATGTGAGGCCTGACTTTACTTGCTGCAGTTTTTGGAGCTGTAGGTATTTTTAGGGAGAGATCTTAGGACTGATCCCCTGATTGTTTTCTGTCCAATAAAAGAGAACAAGCCTGAGATACAAGTGAGCACATTTCTCCTTCTTTTAGCTCTTCTTCTGAGATGTAATGATTTGCAGTGATCTAATACACAGCTGGTTTTTGTTTTGTTTTGTTTTTACTTTTTTGAAACTACCAGATAAATCAAGTGATGTCTTAGTTTGCTTTCAGTTGCTATAACAAAATACCTGAGTCTGGTTACTTTATAAAGGGAAGAGTTTTGTTTTGGCTCACTTCTTGGAGGCAGAGAAATTCAAGAGGATGGTGCCAGCCTCAGCTTAGTTTGTGGTGAGGGCTCATGGCTGTTCATCTGAAGGTGGAAAGGCAGTTCTCCAACAGGGTGAAGGCTGGCACATGACAAAGAACATGGATGAGAGGACACACACACAGAGACAGAGACAGATGGAATGAGAGAGAGTCACAGGGTAAGAGAGGAAGCAAGACAGCAGCTGAGATAACCAAACCCACTTTATAGTGACCCTTTCTCATGGAAACCAGTCCAGTCCAAGACACACAATCAACTCCCGCAAGATGGGCATTGATTTTTTCCAGGGGTGGTTGCCAAGGCCAATGTCTCGGCTTGGCACCAGAATCACGAGCCACCACACACCTTCGTAGGTTCAAACAGCAATTCTTTATTCCCGCTCTCACACCGCCTCCACACAGGTCCAGGGGCAATCGCGTTCTGCCGTCTACCCGCACTATTCACCTACTCCACGAGGCTATCTCCAAATCCCATTTTAATCTCACGAGAACTCAACAGGAACAAGCAGCAGGAACACCCTAATCCCAGCAATAATCTTCAATCTCCAACTTCCCTAAAACCCATTATCTTAAACTGGCAACGCCTTAAACTCAAGGAGCCTGTTACTTCCTCAAACCTGATCAGCTCTAAACCCGGATCCGCCTTGGTCCTTGAGCAAGGTCACCTTATTAAAGCATGCATGCAATGCCCCATCGAATGTCCTCTAAGCAGCATGGGGTACACTTGACAAGGAAATTTCAATGCGTCATTCCTACTTGGTAATGGCCCTCAGCAGGTGGTGACCCCAATGGCCCATCACCTCCCATCGGGCTCTACCTGGTAAGGCTCCACCATCCTCCAGACTGCTACATTGGGTTCTCTGCGCCCACTAAACCACATCGAATGATGGAATCCGTGCAACTGTAGATGCATAAAAGCTTTCCTGTGCTGAGTAAGAAATTCCTCTTCAACATAGCGTATTTACAGGGAAAACACCTTCATGTAAAATACTTGAAGAACTATGTTTTCAGGTTTCTTTTTAATTTTTATTATTGTCGCACATACACAGAAGAGACCGGTCAGTATTCTCAGAAGTCTTAATGCCTGAAAGGATTAGCTAAGTCATTCCTGCCCGCTGAATGAATCCCCCATATCAGGAGGCGACATAGTTCAGATGTCGCGAGATACCACTCTCTCTTCATTTCCAAAAGTGGTTCTGAGGATTTAAGACTGAGCTTGCCCAGAAAGCGCTGCCTGGAAGGAGCTTTGGCGATGATGTGGAAAGGAGGCAGGAGCAGCCTGCCGGGCCATGGTGAAGGCGGAGCCTATCCTGGCTGTAGGATGACTGGTTTGGGAATGTGACACCTATGTCCATGCTGGATCACGGTGACTGGAATTTATGAAGTAGAGCATTTTGCATTTTACACTTTACGATGCTTTTCCATGGGTTTGTAGGATTGGGTGCAGTCGCAGGCCATTCCCTAGAGACCTTACAAGGCCTGCGTCTACCTCGGTGTGGTATCCATGGGGGGTTGGGAGACCCAGGGGCTCTGAGATGGCAGAAGGTGCAGTGGAAGTCAGTGGAAGTCAGCTGCTCTTCCTGCAGCAGGGGACTTTAATCCCTCCATGGCTCCTGCTGGCCTCAGGGTGAAGCCCAGATCCTTGACTGTGCTCTGGCTCTCTCTGATCTGATTCACCTCTTTCCAGCATTTTCTTTCCCTGGTCCCCGCCTCTCGGTCCACGCATATCAACGTGTTTTGTGTCACCCTAAACACTACATCCTCTGGTCTCCAGCCAAGGGTCCTGCATTTTCTCACTTCTTGGTACCCTTGACATCTTAGTAATATTTTTATGGACCTGGAGGCCAGATGGAATTCCTGACCTTTCTACTTATAAAATCTTCATGTCCTGACGCCTTAGTGGTTGTGATGCCGGTGATGAGAACCAATCAGGGCCAAGTTTCATGTCCCCAGATGTGAAGATTGAACTCCAGAGAAATGTCGAGGCAGGTGTAGTAAACAATTAATTTGAAGGATAGAACAGAGATAGACTTCTCCACAGAGAAGGGGTCCCAGAACTGCATGTCTGAAAGAGTGGGGTGTCTTGCCCCTTTTACACATTTTAGGTTTCCTATATTCTTAGGCCTTCTTTCTCCCCTTATCAGGGACCAACCAAAAGGTGGGAAAGAAGCCTTTCAGGGGTGTCTCAGTGTTTGCCCAAACTGGCAGGAAAGGAGCTGCCCAGAGGAACTTCATTAACAACTTATTGGGGAAAACAATTCCCTGTAGGTAGGTAACCTTGGCAACAGGTGGATGAGGAGGGGGAAGGGCTCTGGAGGTATTAGCATTTGATTTCCTCTCCTTTGGAACCAGCCTCCTTCTCCCTGATGGGACCTGATTATTTATTATTTACACTGACTTTTTTTTTTTGTCCCCTGACCTCAGTTGTTTGAAAACACACACATACACACACACACACACACACACACACACACACACACACACTCTCACACAAATTGAAAGAAAAATTTATTGTTTATTTATTGGGGATTGAACGCAGGGGTGCTTTACCACTGACCACCCCAGTCCTGTTTCATTTTTCATTTTGAGA